TTTCTTCCTGTATAGAAAACCTGAACCTTATTTCTTTTGAAAGGTTGATGAACTTGGACTGCCCAATAAAGCTTGTTTGGCCTCTTTGAACTCCGGACTGAATCTTGACTTCTATTCCACGTTCCCTATGGCAAATGACACTTTGCTTTGACACTTATCTTCAGAGACTCTAATTTATGTTAATTTGCTTCTCTGCTTACCTTAGTTTTGCTTACCTTCATATAGAAATTGCATGTGAAACAGTGCCCTGATGTTACCTGAAATAGGAGGCACTCCCATTAAGGACTTTGAAATTTGAGCTGTTATATGTAGTCTTGTGCATGTGTTCTTGCTTATCTTTTGAGTACTTTATTGAATATTACTTTATTACTGGGAGTACTGAGCATGTGATATAATAAAAATAAAAATTTTGGAAAAATTGAGCAATTCCAGGATTACTATGCTGAATTGAAAATTGAAAATATGTGTTCATTTTTTGTCTGTAAAGTGGCTCTTTACCAGTCTAATAGAAAGACTAATCGTTTTCTGTGTTGTTACAATTTAACAATATGATTTTTTTTCTATATTTAAAAATAGGTTTCTTTTTTGTTGTTTGCATTTGTGTTTTTTAGTTCTTTGTTGCCTTGTTCCCTTTGTATATTAAAACAATAACAAAATTAAAAATGAGGAAATAGGACTTTTTAAATCAAGTGACAGAGAATGGTTTATGACTGTTCTGGAAATATGCAAAACCATTCTGAGCAAGCCCAGACTGTGCCTTTCTTGGTTAACATTTGTTTTTCTTTTCTTTAGGAGTCACTCCCAAACCAAAAATGGATCATGGTATTTTGTCTAGAAATACAGTAAACTTTTAGTCCGAAATATTAAATCTGCAAGAATACAAGCAGTTTCAGAGCATTAACTTCCAAATAACAAGTGGACTACTCCAGAATCCCTCAACTGGCATGGATAAGTAGGTTTGCTCAAACTCTGGCCCCTTCGGAAGGACTGTAGAAATATATATATATATGTAGGTCTTTAGTTATTCGGGTTTTCTCCCGCGTAGAATTAAAAGTACCTTGGCGACGTTTCGACGAAGTCACATTCGTCATCTTCAGGCTGGTGTCTTCAGCTTTGTGCTTCTAGCTACTCCCAGAAGCACGAAGCTGAAGACACCAGCCTGAAGATGACGAATGTGACTTCGTTGAAACGTCGCCAAGACACTTCTAATTCTATGCGGGAGAAAACCCGAATAACTAAAGACCTACATATATATATATATATATATATATATATATATA